TCTTATGAGGAAAGGTTGAGGGACTTGAGGCTGATTTCGTTAGAGAAAAGAAGGTTAAGAGGTGACTTAATAGAGACATACAAGATGATCAGAGGATTAGATAGGGTGGACAGTGAGAGCCTTTTTCCTCGGATGGTGATGGCTAGCACGAGGGGACATAGCTTTAAATTGAGGGGTGATAGATATAGGACAGATGTCAGAGGTAGGTTCTTTACGCAGAGTAGTAAGGGCATGGAATGCCCTGCCTGCAACAGTAGTAGACTCGCCAACATTAAGGGCATTTAAATGGTTATTGATTAAACATATGGGTGATAATGGAATGGTGTAGGTTAGATGGGCTTCAGATTGGTTTCACAGGTCGGCGCAACATTGACGGCTGAAGGGCCTGTACTGTGCTGTAATGTTCTATGTTCTAAACCCACAACTGCTTCCATCTAAAAGGACAAGGGTATACATGGGAACACCACCACCTTCAAATTTTCCTCTAAGTCTCTCACCATTCTGACTTGGAAATATATTGCCATTACTTTACTATCATTGGGACAAAATCCTCAACCTCTCTAATGGTATTGTGGGTCTACTGAAAGTATGTGGACTGCAATGGGTCAAGAAGGCAGCTTACCACTTCTCAAGGGACCTAAGAATGGGCAATAAATGGTGGCCAGACAGCAATGCCCACGTCCCAAGACTGAATAAATTCAGGCACAATGTTATATTACATTATACGTTTCATATTTTAGCCCCACACGACGTGCCAGAAATTGAGTTGTAGTTCTAGTGAAAGGAGAGAGACATACTTGCATTCTATATAGCTTGTTGGGTAACCTTAGGGCATCTAGGGAAGTTTATTTCAAAAGTATTTAGTCAAATGTAGAGTCACTGTTGTATCGTAGGGAACATTCGTAAGTGGAGGTAGTGGTAAAGGATTAGTAATTCAGAACTCCTGGCTAATGTTCTGGGGAATTGGGTTCGAATCCCACTCTAGCAGATAGTAAAATTTGAATTCAGTGAAAAACTGAAATAAAAAAAACTAGTCTGATGACAAGTGTATACCCACTGTGCATTGTTTTAAACAATAAATTTAGTTCACGAATGTCCTTCAGCAAATTAAATCTGCCATCCTTACCTGGTCTGACTTACATGTGACTCCAGACCCACAGGAATGTGGTTGATTCTTAACTGTCCTCTGGGCAATTAGGAATGTACAGTAAATTCTGGCTTAGCCAGTGATGCCCTCATCCCATGAGCCAATAAAATAAAATGGAGGCAGTCATTTTAAATACTGCAACAATCTGCAGCGAGTTAAATGATTAAATAATCTTTGTTGATTAAGGATGTGTATTGGCCCTGATGTCAACCCTCCTGATTGTCTTTGAATAGTGCCATAGGATCTTTACTGTCTAGGTCAGACAAGGGCTTGAATTGATCCTCCACCCAAAAGATATATGCTGTGACAGTGCAGCATTTCGACAGTACTGATTGAGTTACACTTAAGCCTCTGCAGTGAAGCTGTAATTCAAGTTCTTCTGACTTTGATGTGTCTGCTCCTATTTTCTATGTTTCTATGCATTCTGAATTCTTGGCTATGTTTCAGACGCTAAGTTATCTTAGAGGAGAGTTTGGCGTTCACATTTTTTTGAAAGCTTAAAGAGGCTAGTTAAAGTTTGGCTGCCTTTTTTGTGGGAGCTGAATAAATTTTTTTTCTAACTATTGGCGGAGTTTTAAAAGTATTGAATGCATTTTATGAATGGGAGGTTTTTCATTATTAATTATGTGAAAATGAGAATGATATTAGATTTTCAGAAGTGTTTCTTTAATGATCAAAGGACTCCTGAGGCCTGCTTATGGTAAATTTGGTGAATGGCTGTGGAAGTGACTTAGTGGGTATAGGGACCCACCATGGGGGGTTGTTGGTGAAAGCTGGAGGACCTAACAACACTAAAAGGGACAAATTCCCAGAGATCTAAGTTGGGTCTTCTAACCAGCTTGCCAGTCTTGTGGCAGTCTGTGCTCTGCTCCCAAACCCCCAGATCAAAAATGCTGCATTTGAGATCTTGTATTGAAGTGGGTTTGGCAAGTTTGTAAATTTTTCAACATGAGCGACTGGCTTTGGTACCCAAAATCTGGCCCAAGTGTGTTTTCCAGTGCAGCGTTAGATAGCAGAGACTTTAAATTATGTAAATTTGTCATTAGTTAAATGGGTTTCATACTTGACCAATTGAGAAAGGCCTTACCTGCACAGAACAGAACACTAAGATGTTTGAAATGACCATAAGAAAAGGGGAGGCGATGGCCTAGTTGTATTATTGCTTGACTATTAATCCAGAAACTGATCTCATGTTCTGGGGACCAAGGTTCGAATCCTGCCACAGCAGATGGTGGAATTGAATTCAATAAAAAAAATCTGGAATTAAGAATCTATTGAAATCATTGCCGATTGTTGGAAAAAACCACCTGATTCACTAAGGTCCTTCAGGGAAGGAAATCTGCCATTCTCACCTGGCCTATGTGTGACTTCAGAACCACAGCAATGTGGTTGACACTCCGATGCCCTCTGAAGTGGCCTATTAAGCCATTCAGTTGTACCATTCGCTACAAAGTCTCAAAGAAACAAAACCAGACAGATCACCTGGCATTGATTTAGGCACCGGAAAAGACAACATCAGAAACAGCCCTGTCGACCCTGCGAAGCCCTCCTGACTAACATCTGGGTGCTGGTGTCAAACTTGGGAGAGTTATCTCACAGACTAGTCAAGCAACAGCCTGAAATATGCATACTCATGGAATCAAACCTTACAGATAATGTCCCAGACACCACCATCACCATCCCTGGATATGTCCTGTCCCACCAGAACGACATAGCTAGCAGAGGTGGTGGCACAGTGGTATACAATTGTGAGGGAGTTGCCCTGGGAGTCCTCAACATCGACTTTGAACCTCATGAAGTATCGTGGCTTCATGTTAAACATGGACAAGGCAACCTCCTCTTCATTACCACGTACTGTCCCCCCTCAGCTGATGAGTTGCTAGTCTTCCATGTTGAACAACACTTAGAGGAAGCACTGAGGTTGTCAAGGATGCAAAATGTACTCTGTTTGGGCGATTTCAATGTGCACCACCAAAATGGCTCGGCAGCAGTACAACTGATCAAGCTGGTTTGGTCCTAAAAGGTCATAGCTGCTAGACTAGGTCTGCGGCAAGTGGTGAGGGAACCAACGAGGGAAAAACATACTTGACCTGATCCTTACCAGTCTGCTGGCTGCAGTTGCATCTGTCCATGACAGTATCGGTAGGAGCGACCACTGCACAGTCCTTATGGAGATAAACTCCTGCCTTCATGTTGAGAATAACCTCTATTGTGTTGTGTGGCACTATCACCATGCTAATTGGGACAAACTTCAAACAGATCTAGCAACTCAAGACTGGACATCGATGAGACACTGTGGACCATCAACAGCAGCAGAATTGTAGTCCAGCACAATCTGTAACCTCATAGCCTGTCATATCTCCCACTCAACCATTGCAATGAAGCCAGGGGATCAACCCTGCATTCAATGGAGAGTGCAGGAGGGCAAGCCAGGAACAGTACCAGGCATACCTGTAAGATCAGGCAAACAGGACTCCTTGCATGCTGAGCAGCAAGTGACACAGAGCTTAGCGATCCCACAACCAACTGATCAGATCTAAGCTCTTCAGTCCTGCCTCATCCAGTCATGAATGGTGGTGAACAGCAAACTGGAGTGGGAGGTTCCAGAAATATTCCCATCTGCAGTGATGGAAGAGCCCAGCACATTAGTGCAAAAAATAAGGCTGTAGCACTCGCAGCAGTCTTCAGCCAGAAATGCCGAGTGGATGATCCATCTCGGCCTCCTTCAATGGACCCCGGCATTACAGATACTAGTATCCAGCCAATTTGATTCACTCCATGTGATATCAAGAAATGATTAGTGACACTAGATATTGCAAAGGCTACGGGCCCTGACAACATTCCGGCAATAATACTGAAGACTTGTGCTCCAGAATTTACCGCTCCCCTGGCCAAGCTGTTCCAGTACAGTTACAACACTGGCATCTACCCGACAATGTGGAAAATTGCCCAATTTATGTCCTGTACATGAAAAGCAGGGCAAATCAGCCAATTACCAGCCCATCAGTCTACTCTCGATCATCAGTAAGGTGATGGAAGGTGTGATCATTAGTGCTATCAAGCACCACCTGCACAGCAATAACCTGCTCAGTGACGCCCAGTTTGGGTTCCACCAGGGCCACTCAGCTCCTGACCTCATTACAGCATTGGTTCAAACATGGACAAAAGAACTGAATTCCAGAGATGAGGTGAGAGTGACTGCCCTTGACATCAAAGCTGCATTTGACTGAGTGTGGCATCAAGGAGCCCTACCAAAACTGGAATCAATGGGTATCAGGGGGCAAACTCTCCAGTGGTTGGAGCCATACCTGGCACATAGGAAGATGGTCGTGGTTTTGGAGATGAGTCATCTCACTCCAGGACACCTCTGTAGGAGTTCTTCAGGGTAGTGTCCTAGGCCCAACCATTTTCAGCTTCTTCAACAATGACCTTCCCTTCAACATAAGGTCAGAAGTGGGATGCTTGTCGATGATTGCACAATGTTTAGCACCATTTGTGACTCCTCAGATACTGAAGCAGTCCATGTTCAAACGCGGCAAGATCAGGACAATTTCCAGGCTTGGGCTGACATGTGGCAAGTAACCTTCACGTCACTCAAATGTCAGGCTATGACCATCACCAATAAGAGACAATCTAACCACCGGCCCTTGACATTCAATGGTGTTACTATCACTGAATACCCTACTGTCGACATCCTGGGGGTTATCATTGACCAGAACCTCAGCTGGACTCACCACATTTAACAATGTGGCTACAAAAGCAGGTCAGAGGTTAGGAATACTGTGGCAGCTAACTCACCTCCTGACTCCCCAAAGCCTGTCCAGCATCTACAAGACATAAGTCAGGAGTGTGATGGAATATTCCCCATTTGCCTGGATGAGTGTAGCTCCAACAACACTAATGAAGCTTGACATCATCCAGGACAAAGCAGCCCAATTGATTGGCACCATAGTCATAAACATCTACTTCCTCCACTATTGACACTCAGTACACACTGCTGCTACAATTTACAAGAGACACTGCAGAAATTCACCAGAGATCCTCAGACGGTACCTTCCAAATGCATGACCCCTTCCATCTAGAAAGACAAGGTCAGCAGATACATGGGAGCACCACCTTCAAGTTCCCCTTCAAGTCATTCAACCATCCTGACTTGGAAATATGTCGCTGTCACTTCACTATCCCTGGGTCTAAATCCTAGAGTTCCCTCCCTCGTGGCATTATCGATCAACCCGCAGCAGGTGGACTGCAGCAGTCGAGAGGGCAACTTGTCACCACCTTCTCAAGGGCAGCTAGCTTTGGGCAATAAACGCTGGCTAGTCAGCAATGCCCACATCCCAGCAATGAAGATAAAAAATAGAAGTGATTAGATGTCAACAAGCTTGGGTTTAAAAATATTTGGAATTATATAATAAAGAATTTCACAGTTCACTTATGGAGTCATACACTATGAAAACAGACCCTTCGGTCCACCCAGTCCATGCCAAATGCAATCCCAAACTAAATGAGTCCCACCTGCCTGCTCCTGGCCCATATCCCTCCAAACCTTTCCTATACATGTTTTTATCTAAGTGTCTTTTAAACATTGTAACTGTGCCCATATACACCTCTTCCTCAGCAAGTTCATTCCACATGTGAACCACCCTCATGTTAAAAATTTGCTCCTCGTGTCTTTTTTAAATCTCCCTCTTCTCACCTTAAAAATATGCCCCCAGTCTTGAAATCCCCCAATCTAGGGAAAAGACACCTACCATTAACCCTACCTGTACGCCTCATGATTTTATAAACCCCTATAAGGTGACCAGTCAACCTCCTATGCTCCAGGAGAAAAGAGTCCTAGCTATCCAGCCTTTCTTTTTCACTCAAACTTTCCACACCTGGCAACATTCTGGTAAGTCTTTTCTGAACCCTCTCTAGCTTAATAATGTCCTTTCTATAACTGGCCACAGAAGAGGCCTCACCAATGTCCTGTACAACCTCAATGTGACTTCCCAACTCCTATACTCAAAGGACTGAAGGCAAGCGTGCTAAATGTCTTTTTAACTACCCTTTCTACCTGTGATGCAAACTTCAAAGAATTATGACCCTGAACTGACAAAATAGAAAATGCGATAACAAATCTAGCATTCAGCTCTGTACATAACTATTGATTTTATTTGTTGTTTCTTTTAATTGTACTTGAAGAAGATTAATGGTGCTTTAATATTGTAGTTACTGTAATTTAGAACAGCCTTTTGTCTTCTTATTATTTTAGAACACGTCCTTGTCTGACTGAAGAGCAGAATGCCCGGTCTGATGTATACAGGCATGTGTCATCTGACGCGTAGACTCTTTCACACATGGGTATACAATCAATCTTTAATTCCACGCAACAGAAAGGTTGCTTTAACATTTCCAAAGACGTTCCTCTTTTTAAAACCTGCTAAATCGATGCAGTCCACAATGCTATCTACACCTAAGTCACTTGCTGGTGAAAAGAACATTGTTCTTCTTGGTGCTCCTGGTGCAGGGAAGACAACAGTAGCAGTGTTTGTTGGTCAGATTACTGGCCTTCACGTGATACATATTAATGACATACTTGAAAAGACATGGCATATGAGTGTTGCTCAGAAGCTGCAGGAGGTTGGTGAGGAACTGTTTTTGCAAGAGGAGGGAGAAATCCTTCAGAAGCTTTCAACAGTCAGAAGTGTTATTTCTCTTACTGGGTCCAATCCTATGCATCCCTCTAGTATGTACCATGTTAAAAAGAATGGAATAGTTGTTTACCTTGATGTACCTCTTGAAGATATACTGGAAAGACTTGGAGGGATGAATGTCAACCATATTGTTGGGCTGAGGCCCGGTGTTTCAATGCAAGAAATATTTCGGTACAGACAACAATTTTACCACCAGTGGTATGATGTACGTGTCCTCTGTCAGGCTGGTGACACAGCTGAAGCAGTTGCTGTGAAGGTACTTGATGGTATAAAGAGATATCAAGACTCTAAATCAGGAATATTTCTTTCCACAAGAAGTATAGATAATAACGTTGAGTTCATGCAAAACCCCAGCTTCTTCACTGATGTTGTTATCGAAGGCATGGCTTTAGATGGAGGTCTCTTTGTGCCTGCAGATCCATTTCCAGAATTGACTGCTGGAGAGTGGCAAAGATTGGTTGAAGCTTCTTACACTGAACGGGCACAAGTCCTCCTCGAGAAGTGTATCCATCCTAATGATGTGCCAGCTGTCATTCTGCGAGAGATGGTGATGAAAGCATATGGACAGAACTTTTCTTGTAATGAGATAGCACCTGTCAGACATTTGAGTGGCAGCCAGTTTCTTCTTGAATTGTTTTATGGACCCACAGCTTCCTTCATGGACTTTGCATTGCAGATGTTACCACAGCTATTTGCATATTGTATGCCTAGAACTTGCAATTATCTAATTCTAGTAGCTACATCTGGGGATACAGGGAGTGCTGTTTTGGATGGTTTCCTTCGCCTCAGTGATACTGACAAACAAAGAATTGCAATTCTCACATTCTTCCCTGAAGAGAGAATTAACCAGCTTCAGAAGGCACAGATGATTAGTTACAAAGCAGAAAATGTAAGGTCTGTTGGTGTTAAGTCTAACCTTGAGTTCTGTCAAACGATTGTAAAACAGATATTCACAAATCCTGTCTACACAGGCTTCCTAACTGTTGAATATGGTACAGCTTTGTGTACTGCAAACTCAACAAACTGGGCTTGTTTGCTGCCACAGGTCGTCTATCATGCCTCTTCTTATCTTGATCTTATTAACCAAGGTGTAATTACCTTTGGAGATCCAATTGATATTTGTATTCCCACAGGTAACTTTGATAATATATTGGCAGCGGTATATGCAAAATGTATGGGGATTCCAATTCGTAAATTTATTTGTGCTTCTAATCAAAGTAGCACACTGACTGATTTCATAAGGACTGGCAAATATGATTTGAGGCATGGAAATGTGACTGCTTTTCCTCCGACATTAGATGTTCTGAAAGCCTCCAACATTGAAAGATATTTACACCTTGTTTCACAAGGTAGTGGATTGCTGATGACCAAGCTATTTTCCCAGCTTGAAGAACAATATTACTTTCAGGTGCCAAATCCTTTACTTGAGAGAATTCAACATGATTTTGTGTCAGACTGGTGTTCGGAGGGAGAGTGTCTAGATGCTATCTACTCTGTTTATAGATCCACAGGTTACATTCTGGATCCAGACACTGCTATGGCAAAAGTGGTAGTGGATCGTCAACATGATGGGACCTGTCCTGTTGTTGTTGTGTCAACAGCTCATCCTTGCAAGTCAGCAGCCGCTGTGCTGCAGGCTTTAAAGGTTAAAGAAAAAAGTCAGCAACCCATTGATCAACTGCAGATGTTGAACTCCTTAAACTCCATGCCTTTAATTCACAGTGCTGTGCTGGAAAGGATTAGAAAGGCTCACACCCAGGATAACCAAGTATGTCCAGCTGATCCAAGTGACATTATGGACAATATAGAAAGATTTATTTATCAGAAATTCATGTGTGTGGCTTAAGTTTGTTCATGCTTTGATATTGACCTGTAAATTCCTAACTCATCATGATCCAAGGTTGAAGAATTTTTTCTGCTTGAATATTTCCACATTTAAAAATACAGAATCATTGTATGTTGCTGGAGTACATTTAGTGTTATCATGTTAAAAATTGATTTGTGAACTTTAGACACCTACATCCACTGTGCTTTCCTGCTAACAAATTATTAAAGAAAACATGTTTCAACCACGTTGAAAGCAATATGTATCTGTTCCTGTGAATTTAAGTGGAATGTTTTCCAGTTAGAGGTCATGTGGCTAACAGTGGCCACAATATCATAATGTTCGAATTAGTATGTTTAAAAAAAATCAGAAAATAGGTAAGGTAAAATGTTCAACTGGTGAAGAGCTCATTTCTGTGACTTAAGAAGGGACCTAGCATGGATAGATTGGGAAAGGCATTTGCAGGATGAAGCAGTAACTGAGTAAAATGAAAAGCAGATATTGGTCAGATACAAGCTGGACATATTCCTTTGAAAGAAAAAGGTAAAAAAAATCCAAAGCTAATGCACCCTAGATGAGATAGAAAATAAAAGTTAAAGCTGGAAAAGGATGCTTATGACAGACGTCGGAAACAAGATTCTGTTAATAACCAAGAAGATTATGGAAACTAACAGAGCAAGTTCAGATAGTTTTATAGAAAGCAGAGATGTTATAAAAGATTAGTATACAAAATTAATATAAACTGAGTAGTTTACAAGTATACGACACTTAAATGGTTAGCTAGGAAATAAGCTGACCCAACCAAGAACCTATAGGCAGAGACTGTGGCAAAAAACATTAAGTAATTGGTTTGCATCGGTTCGCAAAGCAAGGGGACAATGTGAAAATTACAAGAGAAGAAGATAGATGATTTGCAAACGATATTGATTAAGAAGATTCACTAAAAAGATTAGGATTAATGAACCCTGTTAAGTTGCCTGGTCCAGATGGACTGAATTCTAAATTGCTGAAAGAAGCAAAGATAAACATTTGAGGCAATGACCATGTTCTTTCAATCTTCACTGGATCCACTAGTATTGCTGGAGACCATAAGGTTGCTGATACTGCATCACAACTCAAAGGGGACAGAGAGGGAGTCAAACCTCCAAGTCAATCAGCTGAACATTTAGTTGTGACAGTGTTATTGGAGACCCATGGTGGCTCAGCAGTTAGCATTACTGCAACTTATAGTACCAGTGTGTCTGTACGGAGTTTACATGTTCTCCCCGGGTCTGCGTGGGTTTCTGTTGGGTGCTTCGGTTTCCTCCCCCAGTCCAAAGATGCGCAAGTTAGGTGGATTGACCATGGTGAATTCTCCCGTAGTTTCCAGGGATATGTAGGCTAGGTAGGTTAGCCAAGGTAAATGTAGGGTTATAAGGATAGGGTAGGGGGCTGACTCTCGGTGAGATTTTCTTAAGAGGGTCAGTGTACACTTGATGGGTTGAATGGCCTCATTCCACACTGTAGTATTCTCTAAGACAAGCGTTAACCAATGCGAATTAACATGGATTTGTGAAGTGCATATTGTACCTGCTTAACATGACTGAATTTTTTTGGAAGATATTCAATAAAGTATGACACAGGAGGCTTGTTATGAATGAAAGACCATGGAATTACATGAAAGTGTTGGAATGGGTACAGAATTGGCTCAGTGACAGAAAGCAAATAATGACAGTGAATGGAACTTTTTAGACTGTGGAGGTTATTTGCACTGATATATGTAAGAAATCAATTTTAAATCCATTTAGTATTTGCAAATGACAAAGATTCAGTGTAGGGACCAGCATTCAAAGTAAGCAGGTGACATAATAACTTGACAAAGTAGTAGATCAGAATGAGGATGTTTGGAGATATTGGGATGACTTAGACAGCGTGGTGCAGTTTGAAAAAGATATGCATTTATGTAGCACTTCTAACAATCACTGGCTGTCTCAAAGTATTTCAGCCAATGAAATATTTTTTGAAATGTCACCATTGCAGGAGACACAGCAACAAATCTATACTCAGAAATCTTTAAAAGTGATAGGGCAAGTTTATAAAGTGTTTATAAAGTGCTTACAAAGCATACGGATCACTTGGATTGTAAATAGAGGAATAGAATATAAAAGTAAATAGATTGTATATGAATTTGAAAAAAACTTAGGTTAGTCTTAGATGGAGTACTTTGGATAATTCTGGCCATCTCTCCAAGAAAGGATAGGAAGGATCACCAGTCTGTTTTAAAATCTCCCCACCACTGGCCTCATCCCATGTCCAACCCTCCCTCTCATCCCTGCCTCCTTAATCTGACACAACCTGTCCATCATCTTTCCCACCTATCCACCTTACCCTTGCCACTGACCAATCCCCACTACCCCCTACCTGCATCCACCTATCGCCATTCCACCTACCTTCCCCAGCCCCACCCCATCTCCCTCTATTTACTTCCCAGCTCCCTTCCCCCTCCTCAGTCCTGATGAAGGGTTCCGACCAGAAACATCGACTTTCCTGCTCCATTGATGCTGCCTTACCTGCTGTGTTCCTCCAGCTCCAGTAGTGACTGTGATTAAAGTTTTGCTTTTTTTCTTCTTATTGTTTGGGAACTTAGTCTCAAAATATAGATAAATGTATTTCTTAGTTTTCACTTTGAAGGAGACTTATTTTAAAAGAGTCAGAAACTTTTTGTTTTTGAACAGGCAGTTCACAGCAGCCTTTTCAAGAAATTATGTGACTTAGGTTAAATGACTAGCAAAATAGCCAGGCTGATACTTGCTAAGTTGTTTGCTAAGCGCAAATATTATGACCCACAGAAGAGATACATGACCAGGGGCCAAAAGCATTTTAAATTCGGAAGAAAAGTTCCATTCCAGCAGAAGGGCACTTAATCCAACAATGTGTCCTCTGAGAGACTAACAGAGAGAATCACATCCTGTGAATGTGCAGAAATTAATTGAAAGTTACTGAATCACTTATAACCTTGTCAGTAAAATCAGAAATTATAAATTGAAGATAGTAATGATACTTCACCGGGATTGAGTATTTCTCGTACATTGCTGGGAGAAAGGTTTGAATCTTGCTAATTCAATGAGATCTTTAAAAATAGTTTTTAATAGGGAAGGTGATGGCCTAGTGACTTTATCACTAAACTATTAATCCAGTAACTCAGCTAATATTCTGGGGACCTGTGTTCAAATTCTGCCACAGCAGATAGTGGAATTTGAATTCAAGACAATGAAGTACCTGGAATTGAGAATCTATTGATGACCATGAAACCATTGTTGATCTGGCTCACTAATGTCCTTCAAGAAATCTGCCATCCTCACCTGGTCTGGCCTACATGTAACTCCAGAGCCAAAACAATGTGGTTCACTCTGAACTACCCTCTGAAATGGCCTAGCAAGTCACTCAGTTGGATCAATTGCTACAAAGTCTCAAGAAAAACTTGAAACCGGATAGACAATCTAGCATGGACCTAGGAATTGGAAAAGACAATGACAGAAACAGCCCAATCGACTCTGCAAAGGCCTCCTTACTAACATCTAGGGACTGTGCCAAAATTGGGAGAGCTGTTGCAAAGACTAGTTAAACAACAGCCTGATATATTTGTACTCATGGACCCATTCTTACAAATAATGTCCCTGATATCACCATTGTCATCCCAGGATATGTTCTGTCCTACCAGCAGGACAGTGGCAGCATACTGGTATGCAGTCAGAAGGCAGTTACCCTGACACTCCTCATCATTGACTGTGGACCCCGTGAAGTCACGTGGCTTCATTTTGAGAATAACCTCCATCGTGTTGTTTGGACTATCACTGTGCAAAATGGGACAGACTTTGAATAGACCTGGTGAAGCTACCAAACAGGACTACTTGTATGCCAAACAGCAAGGGAATTTAAATGATTCCACAACCAATGGATCAGATCTAAACTCTGCAGTCCTGCTGCATCCAGTCATGAATTTTTTTTAATGCATTCATGAGATCAGGACGTTGCTAGCGATGCCCATTCCTTATTCCTCCCTCCATAAGGTAGTTAAGAGTTAACTACATTGCTGTGGGTGTGGAGTCACATGTAGGCTTCACCAGATTCCTTCCCTAAAGGACATTAGTGAACTAGATGGGTTTTTCCAACAACTGACAATGGTTTCATGGTCATCATTTGTCTCTCAATTCCAGATTTTTATTGAATTCAAATTCCACTATCTGCCATGGTGGGATTAGAACCTGGGTCCCCAGAACATTAGCTGTGTCTTGGATTAAAAGTCCAGCGATAATACCACTAGGCTGTCACCTCCCCGAATGGTGGTGGGCTGTTAAATAACTCACTGGAGAAAGAGGCACCACAAATATCGCCATCCTCAATGATGGAAGAGCAAAATACAAGTGCAGAAGATAAGCGTGAAGCATTCTCAGCAATCCTCAGCCAGATGGTCTGAGTAGGTGATCCATGGTAGCCTCCTCCAGTCATTCCCAGCATCATAGATATCAGTCTTCAGCCAATTCGATTCAATCCCATGTGATATCAAGTGTTGCAAAGTTGGATTGAGTACTTGTGGATTGGGAGGCAGGAAATTAGAATTTGGTGTTGTAAAATGCTGGGGGTTTGTGGGGGAAGTCATTGTGTGCTCCCTTTAAAAGATGATGTGCTTCCTCTATGCTTAGACATTCAAAAAGGATGTCTGTGAGCAGCAGCGTGTAATTTTGCGGGTACATAGAGTATCTGAATTGAAACAGTTGTATATAAAGGCTGTACAGTCAGCAGGCCAAAGAATTTAGCCAGTCAGTTTGAACCAGGCACTTAGACACCCAGAAACCAAATAAATTTAAATCTGGTGGTTTTGACAACAGAGGACCAATCTTATTGTAAGAAATAGATATGTCATCAAAGGTATAAAAGAAGGGGCAAGTAGAGAGCTAACTGCCATCTGCGAGAGTGAACAGCTCTCAGCTCCCAAGAGAGAATGGCTGGCTCTCTCAGACTCTTCAACATCTTAGAGAAAGCACTATCTAAAAAACAAAGGTACCCATGACACAACTAGTTAACATTCCTGACAGAAGAATCAACGGAGAAGGCCTTCCTGACATAAGAATTGACGGAGAAGTCACAGAGCATTCCAAAAGACATGTAAGCTGGCTGTAATTTTGAGAGACTAATTCTGTTTTTTTTTAATACATATAAGTGGAACTTGCATTAATTGGAACAGCATAC